TCCCTTACTGCTGATAGCATCGCAAAAAAAGATAAGTGGCCTCTTCATTGAGGGGGTGGGAGCATCTGTTATGAAATCAACCTCTTGCTCATTTTTACTGCATGAAAGGACATGGTTGTTAATGGCATCACAGGGCTGAGCCCCCCTTTTTTATGTTTTCTGAGAGAGCGGCTGAGCTCCTGGGTTTGTGTTGCAATTTTCTGTAGAAGGACAAGTTTGGGGCCTGAGGAGCAAGGGATGGCTGTACTGCAAATGCAGCTGGGGTGCTGGTGAGATCAGCTGTTGAGGTGCTGGACACCTTCTCCCGACAGCTGCCATAATTAATGGTTCCCCCTTATCCAGAACTTGACTCCTTTCCTTACAAAAGGTGGCATTGACACACACACACCCCTCCCCGAGGAAGGCTTTGGAAAGCTGTATCTGATTTACATGCATTTCCCAACAGCTGAGCAGCATGTCAAGGGTTTCATCTCAAAAAATGTCTTCCCTGTGGCCCACTCAACCAGTACCTGAGGTGTCTTCTGGTGGCTCCGCAAGTATTAGCAATTTGTCTCTGAGCTGCAAATGCCAACCTCCTGCCCCAGCCGGCCTAGCGGGCTTCTGCGAATCCCACTGTGCAGTGGGGACCTTTGCCCACAGGTTGCAAAGCAGGACAAAAGGAGGCATTTCAGGGGTAATGCAAAGGATGCATCCTATGTGGCTAATGCAATAACCTCTTGCAATCAGGCTAAATTTATACCTCATCTCTGCAGAGGGGCCCAGCACACAGGTTCGCTAGTTCTTTGTCTCACCTTCCCTTGATCACACCTCGCACCTGTGCTTGGATTAACCTCCTTAATCTCTCTCTCTTTCTCCTTCTGCAACTTTTGTCTGAGCCAGAGCAAACCTATATATGTCATTTTTCCTAAGAGAGGAGGAATCCTCAGGCTTATTTATCTGCCTAATGATTTGCATTAATCACAATTCCTCCCCCGTGACCGCTAGCCCTGTGGGACCAGAAATGCAAATGTCTGTAAACCAAGCAATAATTACCTTTTCCCTCCCTATCCCACAGGGCTTCACAGCCAGATCTTCTCCCACCTCGCTACCAGTCCTCTTTGTTTTGCTGCTGCTCAGCGCTTAAACTTCCTACTTCTAGATCAGCCCTAAAGATGAACTTCTGTACTCAAAAGCTTATCTTGATATGTTTGTAGGGTTTGGGGGGGGGTTCTGCCTCTGGACATTGATTGAGTCAAGCATTACCTCCTGAGAAGGTGCAGCGCACGAAGGTGCAAGTCTGTTCCCTCTCTGCGGGGACATGAGCATCGCAGCCGCTGCTGCGCGAGGGGCTGCAGAGCCGCCGCCGTTGCCCCGGGCTCTGGAGTTGCAGACTGGTGTCGCCCCAGCAGCGCTCGGGAGAGGGATTCGAAGCTGGGCCGCAGCGGGGCGCGGGACACTAAGGGACCATGTCTCTGGAGGTCGGTCTCTGCCTTGCATTCGTTAACGAGTTGAACAACAAAATAGCATATTGTGCCCTGGTCCCCGGAGCGTTTCTGCTTTCCCTTTCCGTGATGCCTCACTGACTTCCCAGAAAGGACTCTTGACAATAACTTTTTATCGCCAGGTGATGGGTGCGCTTAATTTAATTCCTTGACCATTACTGCAAGGCAAAAGCCTCTCATTAGAGCGCTTGGCTGCAGCACGGGCTAGCTCCGACACGCTGCGTGATGGGTCTCCCTGCTGAGGGAGCTGCTTATTCAGGAGCATGGCAGAGCTCTGGGGGCGGCGGGTCTCATGGCAGCGCTGAAAAATAATTGCCGGGCTTTTTACTACTGCCCTGTTAATGAGGCGGACTCCAAATACAAGTACGTCCGTCCCAGGCACCGCGCTTGCTGCCTGCAGGGATCAGGAGGTCTTTAAGATATTAGTTTTGACCTGTAAATCCCTAAGCAGTTTGTGAGCTGCGGGCTCGCTGCGAGCCGGCTATAACGCTGCTGCGGTTGAGCTATGCCGGGACGTTATTTGCAATGTACTAAATTACGTTAAGAGCGGCTGAGCGCATGCTCCTGAATAAGTATATTTGTATAAATCCACCTCAACGCGCCTGGTGCCAGCGCCCATATATCCCCCTTCCACCTATGCTCATGTGAGGGGTGCTTTCCGCATGGCGACTTCTTGGTTTCGTTTCCCCTTGGCCTGGGTGCATCTGCGATGGGAGGCAGCTCAGAGCTACTTACTGCAGGAGCTTGGCAGCTGGGCAATTTTGCTGTTATGCAAAATTTACCACTGCACAAACAAAATCTGGTTTCCTTCCTTTAGCCATAAGGCTGGTGACTGATAGCTTTCTCCTATTCCGCTGCGTGTAGGAGGCAGATTGATTTCCTGGGAGGATACTTCTATCCTGGCTCTGCCCATGACTCACTGTAGTCCCGCATAGGGCTCCCTAAAGCCACCCAAAACGGTCGGCCATTGGGTTTGACGGGTTTTGCATTGGCCTTTCATGGCTTTCAGGAAGGTCCTTTGACTACTCAGATCTTTGCCTTCCCACCCATTACAGCAGGCGTCTTCCATCTTTCGTAAAAGAATTTCAAATCCTCTGATGAAATGCTCTATAGAAAAATAGGTGCTGGCGATTGCTTCATAAAAATGGACATTTTGGGGCCGGGGGGGCTGCGAGCCAGCAGAGGAGGCTGTGCACCGCTCTGGCGCGGGCAGCACTGGGGAGCCGGTGCCGGACGGGAGAGGAATTGCGGAGGGAGGGAGCGGAGGGGAGGCTGGCGGGCTGCGGGGACGTCGGCAGCTTCTGTCCCTTCGGTGAATCGGCGCGGCGAGGAGGCC